GGCAGATATAGGGTAGAATAATGGCAGTTTTTTTTTCTGTTATTTATCTATTATTCACCCTTTATTTATTCATTTGATCTGTGAAACCCTTTAGAGCCTTTTGTATTTATTTTTACAACTGACCTAGATGATATAATATAATATATTTTTGTAATTTTTTTTAAAAATAAATTTTAGTAAATTAATTATGTGCTTTTTTATACTTAGCAAAAAATTTCAATATTTTTAAATATATTTATAATATAATTAATATAGTAAAAATATAATTAAAATATATTTTTTATATTTTTTTTTTATTAACTCTCTTGTAATTAGCTATCAATTATATAATTATTATATAATAAAAAAGTTAGAAAATTAATATTTAAATTTTAAAGATAAAAATATAAATATTAAAGTTAAGTTAAAATTAAAAATAGTTAAATTATATATAAAATTTATTAAAGAATTTTTTTTGTTAGAACCTGAACTATTGTTTTATAAATAAATTTTTTTGTTATAAATAATTTTTTTAAAAAATATAATTAAAGATTTATATATACTTTTTCTAGACCACACATGTTTGAAAGCTGAGTAAAACTAAATAGGAAAATAAACTACAATAACAAGACAAACAAACTTAAAAAAGGTTTCAAAGCAAGAGCACTTGCTCTTGTTACAAGAAAAAAATCTTTTAAAGCTTTTAATAGTACAAAAAGCTTTGGCACTATAGCAAAATAATAAAAAACAACAACAAATATCAAAAATGTAAAGTCTATACAAGTAAAAGGCAATAACTCAGGTTTACTAGAACATATTAACAAAAGCAACTATAGCTGAAATAAACAAATAGCTCAAGAAGCTAAAGAACTCAAGAAAATAACAAATACATATAAAGAAGAATTTAAAGAAAATAGAACATATATAACAAAAGAAAAAATCTTATTAGTAAAGAAAAATAACAACAATATAGCAACACTTTTAGAACAAGACAACAACACTATCACATGTAATGAAAAGGTTATTGAAGTCAAAATACATATAATAAAGAGGTTTTTGAAATTAGTATACATAATAATGATAACACCAAAACAACAACATATAGCAAAGAGGTTTTTAAGACTAGTACAGATAACAAAAACAATATGAAAACAACAAAACAAAATAAGTTAATAAATGAACAAGAGGTTTCTACTTTGAAAAAGAATACAACTTTTAGTTCTAGTAGAATAATTGAACTATTAACAAAAAAATGGTCAAGCCTTTTGTCTAAACTTAAAAAAGGGCAGTTAACTTACTTATCTTTTTCTTCTAGAAACACAATTAAATCTTAAAATGAAAATGCCTCATTATAAATATACAAAGCCTATAATACTTTTTTAATAAAATTATATTATCTTTATTTGAAACTACTAAACATGACATTATTGCAACTAAATAACATCTTATTAAAAGAACATGATCACATTTAGAAATAATTTTTATAGACAGAAAAACTAATGAACTATGTAATAAAAGGTATTAAAATTCTTAATAAAACATACTTTAAATATGCTTCAATAGATATAAAAAAATCATTCTTGCTAGTCAAAATCAGAAACATCCTACTAGACAACAAAAAAGAACTGTCAAACTTAATCAAAGATGCTTTTAAGAATATAAGTAAAATAGTATCAATTAAACTCTTATTAATTGAAGATACACTATACCTAACAGATTAGTGGGTTATAATTTTTGAGACCACAAAAAATTCATTTTTAGAAACTAAAATATCAAGATTTACTCATATTTGGAATAACAAGATCATAACAGAGTAGAAGACAGTAGCAAAAATATACTACTTCTGCAAAAAAGAAGGGCATATTAAAAAGAAATGCTAGCTATTTTAGAAATTAGTAGCTCTTCATCAACAATATCAAGACTTTAAAAAAAAAATTAGATTATATAGCAAAAAAAACTTTGCAAATATTAGGCCAGAACAAGGATCTTATATAGCTAATTCTGTTAACAAAGATGAAAACTTATACTTGCAAGATGATATACCTATTACTGATAGTGTAGACTTACAAAAAAATCCTTTAGTACAAAATAAAAAAAACAGATCTTTGTCATCTTTAATGGCAATAGATAATAATAAGATAAGAACCTTTTACCTGACCCAATACTAGCACCTTGTGATAAACTGGCTGCACTATATCTTAATACAGAATTACAAACAGGAAACAAAAAGTCAGATAAAACATTATCTATAATAAAAGTTGACAATAAGAAGGCTCCTATGCCATCTTATAAAAAAGACAAAGATAAAAAAAAAAGAGCTTACAGAATAAGAACCAATTAAGGCCTAGTTTATACAGAAAATAATACAATAAGAAACTGCCCTCACAGACCTAATTGGATTAAAATTTTTGGTACATTTATATGCCTTCAAAATTTAAACTTAAAACCACAACTTTGAGTATAAAAAAACTAAATGATTAAGACAAATAACAAAAAACATTAATGTTTTTAAAAACCTACAATTTAGATTTAATAATAATACAAGAAACTAATCACAATAATAAAAATATTATAAATTTTTTAAAATACCAATGGATATATAACTTTTTCTAGTCAGACAAAGTGGCAATTCTGACTAAAAACAAAAACATTATCTTTAAAAATATGAAAATAGACCATGATGAATAAGTTATTACAGCATCATATATCTACAAAAGTCTCTTATTTTTTATTACTAATGTATATACACCTCTTAACACTAGCAACAGAATAATATTTTTTGATAACTGGACTTTTCAAATAAAAGAAAATGTAATAAACATTATAGCAAGAGACTTCAACATAAATCTAAAATCTAAAACAAACAGAATAAATCAGGCAGTATTTCAGCCAGACCCATTCAGGAACCAACTTTTCAAATTAATAAAAAATCTTTCAAACACTGCAGAAATTGCAAGCTCTAAGCCTTTTCTTACATTTCATCAAAAAACACAAAATAGTAACATGATAGCAACATGTTTGGACTACATATTTATTAATAAAAATCAATTATATTTAGTTTCTAAGATTACTATACATTTTGGTAACTCTGATAATCTTCTAGTTAATTGCTTACTTAATTTCAACTAAAAACAAAAACAATTATTTAGCTAGTGATTTGATAAAACTATATTTAATATTAAAAAATTTAAAAAAGACATTTTTGAAAAAATCCGTAAATCAAATACAAAAGAGAACTGAGATCTTTGCAAGGTCTACATACAATTAATTATAAGAGCATTTAGAAAGCCAAAAACAACAAAAAGCAAAATTTTAAGACTTAACAATGAAATAACAATATTAAATAAAAAATAGCTAGTTTATCAAATACAAAAAGCCTGTTTTTATCTTTAGATAAGTTTAATGTACAGCTATAAAAGAAGTTAACATCTTTAACAAAAAAATAGCATATCTGTTTCAAAGTGCAATGAATAGAACAAAGTAAAAAATTAATAAAATATTTTTTTGCAAAATATAAACAAAGAAAATCCTATACAGCCTACTTAGAAATTAAAGCTTCAAATAGTAATAATTAAAATAGTAAAGACATTTTATAGTATATTAAAGAACAATATGCAGATATCTACAAAACAGAAGAGTTTGATAAGAAGTAGCAGAAGAAATTACAGAAAACCTTCTATAAGTACAACATAAATTTAATAAAGGTTTGGTCAAAAGAATTACACAAAAAGAAATAATAGAAGTTATATAAAACCTACCAAATAACAAGTCTTCTAAAATAGATGACTTAACATATAAGTTTTACAAACTTACAGAAAAAGCAATTGCACCAGTTTTGGAAAAAATCTTTAATAAAAACTCTAAACTCTAATATCCTTTTAGTCTTATAATGCAAGAATCTAATTATACTAATTTCAAAAAAATTAGAAAAGCTTAACGATATAAACAACTAAAGACCTATTTTACTAGTAAATAGTAATGCAAAAATTTTTATGAAGATTATAGCCAATAGGTTAAATTTAATCTGTAATGATATAATCTTAAGCTATCAACAAGGCTTTATTATAAATAGGTTTATAACAAACATAGCTCTTAATATCTTAACAACTATAAGAGACCAAAAGGATAACTTGAAACAATACTAGATACTATTTGTTAATCAGCAAAAAGCATTTGACAGAGTAAATTATGAGTTTTTAAAATTGGTACTAAACAAAATGAACTTTGATTCAAGATTTGTTAACTTAATCAGAAACCTCTTTACTAACCAGAAGGCCTATATAGTAGAAGAGAATAACCTGTTTGAATTTTTTAGAGTAAAAAAAGATGTATGACAAAGAGATCCTCTTTCTCTTCTTCTATATATATTAGTATTTGAACTAATGCTAAAACAATTAGAAAGAAAACTTAAAAGAATTCTACTAGAAAAGCAGTTCTTTAAAGCTATAACATATGCTGATGATTTAATAATTGGCATAAGATTAACCACAGACTGGAATATATTGAAACAGATATTTAAGATATACAAGCTTGCATCTAATACAAAAATCAACAAATATAAAACTAAACTAGTTTTACTTACTGCAAGTACAAACAAGTCAAATTATTAAAAAAAAATACTTTAAAAAAGTAACAGAATATGAAACATTAATCATTCTGGAATATATGATCTAACCTAATAAACAATCTAAAAAACCTATAGCCAACAATAATCAAGAAGCTTAAGAGCTTCTTAGAAGGCATATTCTAAAAGAATTTTTTATTTAAAGAGAAAATACTAATAGTTAAATTATTAATAATTTCAAGAATCTGGTATATATTATACCTCTTACTGCCAAACAAAAAACAAATAACAGAAATTAATCAGATAATTATATTATAAATAAAAGGAACCTTAAAAATGTTTGTTATCTAAATACTTAGTCTTTCAGTTTTCTGCAGACTAATAAAGACTAGAAGCTCCAATTATGAAAGATATACTTAATATAAGATTACTAACAGTTTGGCTAAAGCTTTTAACAAAAAATTTCTTATAGTCTAAATTCAAGAGAAAAAGACTACAATGATAATAAAAGAAAAAAGAACTATCTTAGTTCTACAAGCTTTAAAAAGATTACAATAAAATTAGCAGCTTGGCCAACAAAATAGAAACTATATATTCTTGTCTGAAAAAAATAAAAGAAACAGTTGATGCTTTTATTAAATGACCTTAGTATAAAAAAGACCTTATAGCAAAAGAAAAAAAATGAAATAAAATTATAGTGAAAAGCCTAGCAAAATTCTTAAGAAAAAAAACTACAAATCCTATAAATATAAATCTAAAAAGAAGCCTTAATAACTAGTAATTAGATGTAAAGACAATAGAAAATAAAAAAAAATATCATCTGGCATCTTTTTTACAGAGCTCTTCTTTTTAGTTAATGATTACAACATGTAAGTATAAAAGAAAGTAGTAAGTATATATGGTGCATTGACAAGCTTCAAACCATCAAGCACTTTATTATAAACTGCAGAATTAGCCAGAAAATTTGAAAGCAAGCTTATTTCTTTCTTGATCCTAAACAAGCAAAATGTTCTTCCAGAATATTAGAAGAGATCTTTAATGCATCAAACATAAAGTGTAAAGAAGGATTACAGGCAGCATTATAGCTATATATTAATACAATTTATGAAATTTGATGCCAATATACAAAAGTTAAATGAAAAGAGAATTACCAAACCCTAACAAGCATTTTAAATATAATTAAATACTGTTTAAACAAAAAAATCAAAATAGTACAGTTTAGCTTAAAAAGGTTTTTATCTAAAAAGAAAAAGAATATATATAAATATTTACATTACAGATACTAATAAATGTTATTAATAAAAGAATGCTATATGCACTCTCTGATTTGAGCATCAGGGTTATAATAATAAAATATATATATATATAATTAATTTAAATTTTTAATATATAATATAATTATTTATTTTATTAATAAATAGTATTATTAATATTATTATAAGAGGTATAGTGACTTAGTGAAGTAAATAAGTTGTCAATCTTTTAGCATCAGCAAAAATATATATGTATAAACTTTCATAAGTTTTTACATTATGTAAAAAAAATGTAAAATTACGTAAAATTTAACATAAATCTACATAAAGTTTATAGTATATAAAAAAATCATAAACTTATGTAAATATTTGTATAAGTTTATGATTTTTTTATATACTGTAAACTTTGCATAGGTTTATGAAAAAATTGTAAAAGTTAGAGTTCTGCAAATTCAAATCAAATATTAAATTTATTTGATTTTGATTTGATTTTTCAAATCAAATATTAAACTAATTTGAATTTGATTTATCAAATCAAATATAAAACTA